GATATGATAATTTGGACGGGATGGGAAGGTGGACAGGATGGTGAATAGTATAGAGGACAGGTGGTGTATGTTAGAGGAAAGGATGGGATATAGTTAGAGGGAAAGGGTGGTGATCAGATGGACGGTAGGGGTATAGATTGATGGTAGGATGGTGAAATAGAATGCGGACAGGTGGTGGTATAGATATAAGGACGGATGGTGATCTAGACAAGATGATCGGGAGGGTTATATGGATGGACGGATGGTGATATAGTATAGATGGACGGATGCTGATATAATAGAGGGGACAGGATGGTGATATAGAATAGATGGACAGGGTGGTGATCTGATGGACAGGATGGGGTAAGATATAGATGGAAGGATGGGAAATAGATATAGGGAAGGATGGTGGTATAGATATAGGGGGACAGGATGGTGATTTAAAATAGTGATCAGGAGGGTTATATGGAGGACGGAGGTGTATAGTTTAAGATGGACAGGATGGTGATAGGGAAGGACAGGGGGTGAATAGATAGGATGGACAGGATGGTGATATAGATATGGGGGAAGGATGGTGATATAGAATAGAGGACAGGATGGATTGATATAGATGGACAGGATGGGATATAGATAAGAGGGAAGGATGGTGATATAGAGGGACAGGATGGTGATATAGAATAGACGGACGGGGAGGTGTATAGTATAGATGGACAGGTGGTGAATGATATGGAGGGAAGGTGGGGATATGATATAGAGGGACAGGTGGTGTAGGGGCAGGATGGTGAATAGAATGGTGGACAGGATGGGATAAGAAAGGGGGAAGGAGGGTGTAGGATATAGAGGACAGGATGGTATTAAAATTAGAGGACAGGATGGGATATAAAAAAGAGGAAAGGGAAGGTGTTTAAAAAGGACAGGTGGTGAATAGATTAGACGGAAGGGATGGTGATTAAAATTAGATGGACAGGTGGGATAAGAATATTTGGACAGGGTGGGATCTAGTGGACGGATAGGGGATAGATATAAAAGGGATGTGTAAAATGAACAGTGTCGGGATGGGGTATAAATATAGAGGACGGGATGGTGATCTGAATAGATGTCAGGAGGGTTTATATGGAGGAAGGAGGGTATTAGTATAGAGGGACGGGTGGTGATTAGATATAGAGGGACGGATGGTGATATGATATAGATGGCAGGGTGGTGATTAGATGGACAGGAAGGGATTGACTAGTGATCAGGATGGTTATATGGTGACAGGTGGTGATATAGAATAGATGGACAGGTGGTGAATAGAATAGATGGACAGGAGGTGTGATTAGATAAGAGGGAAAAGGGTGGTGACAGAGGGAAAGGGAAGGTGATATACATGGACAGGATGGTGAATGATATAGATGGACGGGGGTGATATAGATATAGATGGACAGGAGGGTGATATAGTGGACAGGAGGTGAAAGATATAGTTGGACAGGTGGTGATATAGGTGGCAGGATGGTGTATAGAAAAGAGGGACGGAGGGTGATATAGTATAGGGACAGGATGGGATATGATATGAGGACAGGGTGGTGATTAGAGGGGAAGGATAGTGGTATAGATAAGAGGATAGGAGGGTTTAAAAATAGATATAGCGGACAGGATGGGGGTATGTATAGAGGGGGGAAGGAGGGTGATTAGACAAGATGACGGAGGGTTTATATGGGGACAGGATGGTGATTAGATATAGATGGACAGGATGCTGATATAGATATGAGGACGGATGGTGATATAGTTTAAGGGAAGGGTGGTGATTAGATAAAAAGGATGGGTTTTAAAGAAAAGATGGATAGGAGGGAAAAATAAAATTAGGGGAAAAGGATGGGGGATAGAATAGAGGGCAGGATGGTGTTAGACATAGTGAAAGGTGGTTAATGGAGGACAGGATGGTGATAAGATATGATGGACAGGATGGTAAAGGTGGACAGGTGGGAAGAATGGGGACGGAGGGAAAAATTATGAGGGACAGGAGGGTGATATAGATAAGGGACAGGAGGGTATAATTAGATGGGACAGGATGGTGAATAGATATGATGGACGGATGGTATATGATGGACAGGAGAGATATAGAGGGGACGGAGGGTGATATAGTATAGAGGACGGATGGTGATTAGATAAGAGGGACGGGATGGTGATATAGAATAGTTGGAAGGGGGGTTTGATCTAGAGGACGGAAGTGGTATAGATAGGGACAGGTGGTATAAGATATAGGGGACGGAGGGGATATAGAAAAGAGGACAGGTGGTGACATAGATGGACGGATGGTGTAGGAGGCAGGGTGAAAGATATGGATGGACGGGGTGAATAGATTAGAGGACAGGAGGTGATATAGATAAGAGGACGGAGGGTGTATAGAAGGGAAGGATGGTGAAAGAAGGAAGGATGTTGAAAGAGGACAGGAGGGTGATATAGAAGGCAGGTGGGATACGTATAGATGGACAGGAGGGTGATATAGAGGGACAGGATGGTGAATCGAATAGAGGAAGGATGGTGAATAGGGGACGGATGGTAATAGATATAGAGGGAAAAAGATGGGATATAGCGGGACAGGGGGATATAATGGACGGATGGTGAAAAAATAATATAATATAATTAAATAAATAAATAATTGCCATTAGCAGACGCTTTTACCCCAAAGCGACTTACAGTATGTGTGCAAAAATTTTTACGAGGGTGGCCCCGGGGATCGAACCCACACCTGGCTTTAAAAAGCGCCATGCTCACCAATTGGAAAAGAGGACCAGTTTTAAGTTATAGTATAGATAAGCTGGACAGGATGGGTATAGTGAACAGGAGGGATAAAAGTAAGCTGGAATGAGGGTTTTGATATAATATAGATGGAAAAGGATGTGGAAATAGATGGAAGGATGGGTATGGATAGATGGACCAGGATGGTGATATGGATGGAAGGATGGTGTTTAAGATATGAGGAAGGAGGTGATAGGAGGAAAGGATGGTGAATAGATATGGAGGACAGGTGGTGATATAGATAAGGTGGCAGGATGTGAATAGTATAATGGACGGATGGTTTTAGATAAGAGGGGACAGGATGGTGAAAGATAAGATGGAAGGAAAGGTGATATAGATGGGACAGGAGGGTGATAAGATAAAAGGACAGGATGGTGATTAGATATAGGGGGAAGGGGGTTTGATTATAGTTTAAGTTGGACGGGTGGGATCAGATGGAAGGAAGTGGTATGATATAATGGTAGTTGGTGAAATAGATATAGGGGACAGGATGGTGGTTATAGATATAGATGGAAGGATGGGTCAGAATAGATGATAGGGGTTATAGGGATGGACGGATGGTGATATAATAGATGGACAGGTGGGATAAGAATAGAGGACGGGGTGGTGATCTAGATGGACGGGAAGGGGGGATAATACAGGGACAGGTGGTGATATAGAAAAGAGGGAAAGGATGGTGATAAAATAATAGGGGACAGGATGGTGATATAGATGGACAGGATGGTGATATGTAGGGACAGGATGGTGATATAGGGGACGGGATGGTGATATAGATTAGTGGAAGGATGGTGATAAGATATAGAGGGAAGGATGGTGAATAGATATGATGGACAGGGTGGTGATCTGAGGACAGGGTAGTGGTATAGTATAGATGGATAGGGGGGAAAATGAATAGTGGACAGGATGGGTATAGATATAGATGGACAGGATGGTGATCAGAATAGATGATCAGGATGGTTTTTGGGATGGACAGGGGGTGATATAGTATAGATGGAAGGATGGTGTATAGAATAGATGGACAGGATGGTGAATAGATATAGAGGACAGGGTGGTGATCTAGAGGACGGATAGTGGTATAGATTGATGGATGGGGGTGAAAAAAATAGCGGCGGGATGGGGGTAAGAATGAGGGACGGGGAGGGTGACTAGAATAGATGACAGGGGTTTATATGGAGGACAGGGTGGTGATTAGAAAAGGGGACAGGATGGTGATAGGGATGGACAGGTGGTGATTTGAATGGAGGGACAGGATGGTATATAGTATAGGGACAGGATGGTGTATGATATAGAGGGACAGGATGGTTTTAGATAAGAGGGAAAGGATGGTGTATGAATAGATGGACGGATGGTGATATAGATGGAAGGAAGGTGATATAGATGGACAGGTGGTATAAGAAGCGGCAGGATGGTGATAGTATAGTGGAAGGATGGTGATATAGTTTTAAGTTGGGACGGGTGGTGATCTGATGGACAGGATAGTTTTTATAGATTAGTGGACAGGATGGTGATAAGATATAGCGGGGAAGGAGGGTTTTAAAGTATAGATAAAAGGAGGGTGACAAGATGGACAGGATGGTGAAGGATGGACAGGTGTGATATAGAAAGAGGACGGATGGGATATAGATATAGATGGACAGGAGGTGATATGAGGAAGGATGGTGATATAGATGGCAGGATGGGAAAAGAAGGACGGTGGTGAATCGAATAGTGGACAGGATGGTGAAAAGAGGACAGGATGGGGGGTATCGAATAGGGGACAGGTTTGGGTATATAGGGGACAGGATGGTGATATAGATATAGGGGGACAGATGGTGTTTATGGGGAAGGGATGGTGATTAGCTGAACGGGGGGAATAATAATAAAAAATATATAATAATATAAATAATACCCTTTTAGAGACGTTTTTATCCAAAGCGATTACAGTATGTGTGATAATTTTTTACGTATGGGTGGCCCCGTGGGAAACCCATACCCTGGCGTTCAAGCGCCAGCTCTCCCAAATTTGGCACAGGGGAAACCACGATAAGATATAGATATGATTAGGGACAGGGGTGTATATTTAAACAGGATGGTGTTTAGTAAGCGAATGATGGTGATATAGATAAGATGGACGGATGGTGAATAGATGGAAGGATGGTGTTTGGTGGAAGGATGGTGATATGATTAGATGGACAGGATGGTGATAAGATATAGTGGACAGGTGGTGAAAGAATAGTGGACGGGGGTGGGATCTAGAGGACAGGATGGGGTAAGATATAGATGGGATAGGATGGTGAAATAGATATAGCTGGCGGATGGTGGATAGATATGAGGGACAGGATGGGATCTAGAATAGATGATCAGGAGGGTTATATGGATGGCAGGATGGTGATATAGATATAGATGGAAGGAGGGTGATATGGATGGACAGGAGGGTGTATAAAATTGGAGGGAAAGGGGTGTATAGTATAGTGGAAAGGATGGTGAATGTAAGATGGACAGGATGGTTTAGAATAGATGGAAAGGATGGTGTATAGATATAGAGGCGGGTGGTGAATAGAGGGACAGGAAGGTGTTATAGTGGACAGGGGGGATATAGATATAGACGGACGGAGGGTGATATAGATATAGATGGAAGGATGGTGAATAGATATATTTGGACGGGGGTGGTGACTAGAGGAAAGGATAGGGGTATAGAATAGGGGAAAGGATGGTGAATAGATATAGCTGGCAGGAGGTGATATAGATATAGATGAACAGGATGGTGACTGAGGAAAGGATGGTGATAGGATGGACAGGATAGTGAAAGATTAGGGGCCAGGATGGTGATATAGATATAGAGGACAGGTGGTGATATAGATATGGGGAAGGAGGTGTATAAAAGGACAGGATGGTGAATAGATGGAAGGAGGTGAATAAAAGGACAGGATTGTGAATCGATATAGATGGACAGGTGGTGATATAGATGGACAGGATGGTGATATGTATAGGGGAAGGATGGGATATAGGGGACAGGATGGTGATAGATATAGAGGGAAAGTGGTTTGATAAGGGGACAGGAGGGGATTAGGAACAGGAGGGTAATAATAATATAATATAATATATAAAAATATAAAAATTGCCATTAGCAGACGCTTTATCCAAAGCGATACAGTATGTGGATACTTTTTTACGTATGGGTGGCCGGGGATCGAACCCACCCCCCTGGCGTTAAAGCGCCATGCTTACCAATTTGAGCTACAGGGGACCACGTATAGAATAGATATAGAATAGTGGAAGGATGGTGAATTTTGAACAGGGGGTGTTATGATATGGGGGGACTGATGGGATATAGATATAGAGGGGACGGGGATGGTGACAAGATGGACGGATGGTGAATGGAGGAAGGATGGTGATATAGGGGCAGGAGGTGATATAGCTGGAAAGGATGGTGATATAGATATAGAGGACAGAATGGGTATAGTATAGGGACAGGAAGGTGAAGATAAACGGGGAGGTTTGAAATGATATAAGGCGGATGGGATTTTTAAAAATGGACAGGTTTGGTGATTAGTTGGAAGGAGGGATATAGCGGGAAGGATGGGTTTGGGGACGGATGGTGATATAGTGGACAGGATTGTGAATAGATATAGATGGACAGAATGGGAATAAAATTAGGGGAAGGAAGGTGATATAGATATAGTGGACAGGATGGGAATGCTGGACAGGAGGGTGATTAGATGGACATGATGGTGATATAGCGGAAAAGGTGAATGGATATAGGGGGACAGGATGGTGATAAGAGGACAGGATGGTGAATAGATGGACAGGTGGTGAATAGAGGGACAGGATGGTGTTTATAGTGGACAGATGGTATATAGCTTTAGAGGACAGGATGGTGATATAGAAAGGGGGGGGCAGGAGGGTGATATAGAATATAGGGGGACAGGAGGTGATTTTAAGAATAGTTGGAAGGATGGTGATATAGATATGGGGACATGAGGTGATAAGATATAGAGGGGACAGGATGGAAATATGGATGAACAGGATAGGATAAGATATGGATGGACAGGATGGTGATATAGATATAGATGGACAGGATGGTGATATAGAGATAGGTGGACAGGATGGTGATATAGATATAGATGGACAGGATGGTGATTATAGATATAGATGGACAGGATGGTGATATGGATGGACAGGATGGTTGATATATATATAGATGGACAGGATGGTGTATAGATATAGTTGGACAGGATGGTGATATAGCTATTGATGGACAGGATGGTGATATAGATATAGATGGACAGAATGGTGATATAGATATAGATGGACAGGATGGTGATATGGATGGACAGGATAGTGATATAGATATAGATGGACAGGATGGTGATATAGATATAGATGGACAGGATGGTGATATAGATATAGATGGACAGGATGGTGATATAGATGGACAGGAAGGTGATATAGATGGACAGGATGGTGATATAGATATAGACGGACAGGATGGTGATATAGATATAGATGGACAGGATAGTGATATAGATGGACAGGATGGATATATATATATATAGTTGGAGAGGATGGTGATATGGATGGACAGGATGGTGATATTAGATATGGATGGACAGGATGGTGATTATAGATATAGATGGACAGGATGGTGATATAGATATAGATGGACAGGATGGTATTAGATATAGATGGACAGGATGGTGATATGGATGGATGGACATGATGGTGATATAGATATAGATGGACAGGATGGTGATATAGATATAGGTGGACAGGATGGTGATATAGATATAGATGGACAGGATGGTGATATAGATATAGATGGACAGGATGGTGATATGGATGGACAGGATGGTGATATATATATAGATGGACAGGATGGTGATATAGATATAGTTGGACAGGATGGTGATATAGCTATTGATGGACAGGATGGTGATATAGATATAGATGGACAGAATGGTGATATAGATATAGATGGACAGGATGGTGATATGGATGGACAGGATAGTGATATAGATATAGATGGACAGGATGGTGATATAGATATAGATGGACAGGATGGTGATATAGATATAGATGGACAGGATGGTGATATAGATGGACAGGAAGGTGATATAGATGGACAGGATGGTGATATAGATATAGACGGACAGGATGGTGATATAGATATAGATGGACAGGATAGTGATATAGATGGACAGGATGGATATATATATATATAGTTGGAGAGGATGGTGATATGGATGGACAGGATGGTGATATAGATATGGATGGACAGGATGGTGATATAGATATAGATGGACAGGATGGTGATATAGATATAGATGGACAGGATGGTATTAGATATAGATGGACAGGATGGTGATATAGATATAGATGGACAGGATGGTGATATGGATGGACAGGATGGTGATATAGATATAGATGGACAGGATGGTGATATGGATGGACAGGATGGTGATATAGATATGGATGGACAGGATGGTGATATAGATATAGATGGACAGGATGGTGATATAGATATAGATGGACAGGATGGTGATATAGATATAGATGGACAGGATGGTGATATAGATATAGATGGACAGGGTGGTGATCTAGATGGACAGGATAGTGGTATAGATATAGATGGATAGGATGGTGAAATAGATATAGCTGGACAGGATGGTGGTATAGATATAGATGGACAGGATGGTGATCTAGACATAGATGATCAGGATGGTTATATGGATGGACAGGATGGTGATATAGATATATAGATGGACAGGATGGTGATATAGATGGACAGGGTGGTGATATAGATATAGATGGACAGGAAGGTGATATAGGTGGACAGGATGGTGATATAGATGGACAGGATGGTGATATAGATATAGATGGACAGGATGGTGATATAGAAGGACAGGATGGTGATATAGATATAGATGGACAGGATGGTGATATGGATGGACAGGAAGGTGATATAGATGGACAGGATGGTGATATAGATGGACAGGATGGTGATATAGATATAGATGGACAGGGAGGCAACGAGGGGGCAGTTGAACTGGGGAAGGATTTCTGTTGATTGCAGGTTTTTAGTGGAAACAGAATGGTGAATTATGTTATCAACTTGCAAACCGTTCTGTAACCCTGTGTTAAGAACAGTGTGTGTGTGCGCAAGCGCACGTGTGAGCAGCCAAGTCACCTTGATACAAGTCAGTATTTGACATCCATGTCTGTCTGAGGACATCGGGAGATGACATGGAAACCAGCCACTAGGGGCAACCTCTGATTCCAAAGGTTGCAAGTTTGAATCCAGCGATAGAAAGTTGTTATTGAGATTTTTGTTTTAAGCCTATCCCAAACTTTAACCCTTACCTTAACCATTCGGAGTTAATGCTTAACCTTAAGATTTCGGAGTTAATGCCTAAACTTAACCTTAAACACTTTGAAATTTGACGTTTGCAACAACTTCTACATTTGACGTTCGAGAAACGTCTAATTCTGACGTGAGACTGTGAGAGCTAGTTGGTGTGTTTGTTATGACACGAGAGGGAAGACAGATAGCCTCTGTGTGTGTGTGTGTGTGTGTGCGTGCGTGCGTGCATGTGTGTGTTATTAGGTGTTCATTATGCGCGGCAGACACAGATGCTCCCCAACCCTGTCACAATGAAATGTGGGCTCCATTCCCCGCCATTCCCCAGCTGAGCCTTTGGAATTTGAAATTAAATACACTAACGGTCAAAAGGAGATGGTTTGGGATGAGTCGGACCGCAGAGTGAAGGAAAAACAGCATATGTGGGAACTCCTTCAAGAATGTTGGAAAAGCATTCCAGGTGAAGCTGGTTGAGAGAATGCCAAGAGTGTGCAAAGCTGTCATCAAGGCAAAGGGTGGCTATTTGAAGAATCTCAAATATAAAATATATTTTGATTTCTTTAACACGTTTTTGGTTACTACATGATTCCATACAGTGGGGAGAACAAGTATTTGATACACTGCCGATTTTGCAGGTTTTCCTACTTACAAAGCATGTAGAGATCTGTAATTTTTGTCATAGGTACACTTCAACTGTGAGAGACGGAATCTAAAACAAAAATCCAGAAAATCACATTGTATGATTTTTAAATAATTAATTTGCTTTTTATTGCATGACATAAGTATTTGATCACCTACCAACCAGTAAGAATTCCGGCTCTCACAGACCTGTTAGTTTTTCTTTAAGAAGCCCTCCTATTCTCCACTCATTATCTGTATTAACTGCACCTGTTTGAACTCGTTACCTGTATAAAAGACACCTGTCCACACACTCAATCAAACAGACTCCAACCTCTCCACAATGGCCAAGACCAGAGAGCTGTGTAAGGACAGCAGGGATAAAATTGTAGACCTGCACAAGGCTGGGATGGGCTACAGGACAATAGGCAAGCAGCTTGGTGAGAAGGCAACAACTGTTGGCGCAATTATTAGAAAATGGAAGAAGTTCAAGATGACGGTCAATCACCCTCGGTCTGGGGCTCCATGCAAGATCTCACCTCGTGGGGCATCAATGATCATGAGGAAGGTGAGGGATCAGCCCAGAACCACACGGCAGGACCTGGTCAATGACCTGAAGAGAGCTGGTACCACAGTCTCAAAGAAAACCATTAGTAACACACTACGCCGTCATGGATTAAAATCCTGCAGCGCACGCAAGGTCCCCCTGCTCAAGCCAGCACATGTCCAGGCCCGTCTGAAGTTTGCCAATGACCATATGGATGATCCAGAGGAGGAATGGGAGAAGGTCATGTGGTCTGATGAGACAGAAATTGAGCTTTTTGGTCTAAACACCACTCGCTGTGTTTGGAGGAAGAAGAAGGATGAGTACAACCCCAAGAACACCATCCCAACCGTAAAGCATGGAGGTGGAAACATCATTCTTTGGGGATGCTTTTCTGCAAAGGGGACAGGACGACTGCACCGTATTGAGGGGAGGATGGATGGGGCCATGTATCGCGAGATCTTGGCCAACAACCTCCATCCCTCAGTAAGAGCATTGAAGATGGGTCGTGGCTGGGTCTTCCAGCATGACAACGACCCGAAACACACAGCCAGGGCAACTAAGGAGTTGCTCTGTAAGAAGCATCTCAAGGTCCTAGAGTGGCCTAGCCAGTCTCCAGACCTGAACCCAATAGAAAATCTTATGAGGGAGCTGAAAGTCCGTATTGCCCAGCGACAGCCCCGAAACCTGAAGGATCTGGAGAAGGTCTGTATGGAGGAGTGGGCGAAAATCCCTGCTGCAGTGTGTGCAAACCTGGTCAAGACCTACAGGAAATGTATGATCTCTGTAATTGCAAACAAAGGTTTCTGTACCAAATATTAAGTTCTGCTTTTCTGATGTATCAAATACTTATGTCATGCAATAAAATGCAAATTAATTACTTAAAAATTCATACAATGTGATTTTCTGGATTTCTGACCTCTACATGCTTTGTAAGTAGGAAAACCTGCAAAATCGGCAGTGTATCAAATACTTGTTCTCCCCACTGCATGTGTTATTTCATGTCTTCACTATTATTCTACAATGCAGAAAATAGTAAAAATAAAGAAAAACCCTTGAATGAGTAGGTGTTCTAAAACTTTTGACCGGTAGTGTATATAAATAAATATATAACTAATGGAATAAATCTGTTATTCATGTCCACTGACCTGGAGCGTGTGTGTGTGTGTGTGTGTGTTTATTTTGGTGTGGTGTGTGTGTGTGTGGGTGTGTGGTGTGTGTGTGCGTGCGTGCGTGCGTGCTTGCGTGCGCGTGGCGTGCGTGCGTGCGTGCGTGCGTGGCGTGCGTTGCGGCGTGCGTGCGTCGTGCGTGCGTGCGTGCGTGCGTGCGGCGGCGTGCGTGAGTGCGTGCGTTGCGTGCATGTGGGTGCTACATCTGCTTATGTGTGTGTTCCCTATGTGCTCACCTATGCATATCTTTGTATGTCTCTGTCTTCTAATCTACAGCAACACTTCACCCCAGAGTGCAAGTTCAAAGAGAGTGTGTTTGAGAACTACTACGTGACGTACTCGTCCATCCTGTACCGGCAGACCCAGTCGGGCAGGGTCCTGGTACATCGGCATCAACCGGGACGGACAGGTCATGAAGGGCAACAGGGTCAAGAAGACCAAAGGGGCGGCCCACTTCCTGCCCAAACTCATAGAAGGTAGGCTACTATTCTCAGACATCACAGACCTAGGGAACATTGGTAACATTGTGGGAGGCAAGCTGTCTTTCTACAGAGTTTAGTAGGCTCCAGTAGATATTGCTCAGGTCTCATTTAAAAAATGGATTTGTTCAGTTCAATATTATTTTGTCTCTCTCTCTCTTTCTCTCTCCTCTCTCACTTCTTTTCTCCCATCCCTTCCTTCTCTCCCTCCCCTTCTCTCCTCCCTCCTCCTCCCCTCCTCCCTCCCCGTCTCTCCCCCCTACAGTGGCAATGTACAGGGAGCCTTCGCTGCATGAAGTGGTGGTGGTCGCCGAGCTGAGTCCGCCCAGAAAAACGGTCAAGACCTCCGATTCGCCCGTGCTGCAGAACGGCAAGAAAGACCCACCCTCCAAAACCAAAACTTCCTAGCGCACAGAGAAGACAGGGGCCACTGGGCACTGACTGGCTAACAAAGTCTTCCTGTTTTTATTACAAAGGGGTGTCGCGGTCAAATGTTTCCCCCCTTCCCCACTGAGCAGCACGTAGAGGAGGCCCTATTGTTCTATATTCCCACAGGTTCCATCCATACCAGGATGTTTCTGAAAAGGCACTCTATTCCGTTTACAGTGCACTACTTTTGACCAAAGCCCGCACAGGAGTCTGTTCAAAAGGAGTGCACTATAAAGGGAATTGGGTGCCATTTGGGACGCTTCCCCAAACCCCCTGTTGTTCTCTTAACATCTGTTACCAGGTATCCTCTGTCCGTCAGCAACATGGTGACCATAGCGATCTCCTCCATACTTAAGCAATCCTCTCCTTCACCTTTGGTGCAATTTGATTCGTTTGTGACACATAGTCAATTTTCCACTCGGCAGCACAAGAAAATATTCCTTGTTCTTCTCTAGGGCTGTTAACAGCAGCTCTCTCTAATCAAAATCTCCCCACCTCTTGAAAGAGAGAGAGGAACCTCCCCACTGCACTGCAATGAACTACACACACACGCATGCGTGCACACACACACATACACACACACCCAGCAGAGAGAGAGTGGTGATTGTGTGCGGGTCAGGGCTTGGGGAATGGTAAAGATATCATCAGTGAGATGGTGTTGTTCCCTGGGATTCTGTTTGCATTACACCATCCTATCACTACAACAAAATTGTTGTACAGTATTAAATCGTTGTTTTGTTGACATTGACAGTACCAGTTACAGGTTGCTAATTCTCGATGTTTGCATCCCAAATGGCACCCTATCCCCTATATAGTGCACTACCTTTGACCAGAGCCCTGGTCAAATGTAATGCAGTACAGGGAATAGGGTGCCAGTCGCTGACATAAGTCTACAAGTTTTACCTTGATGTGTTTACGGGAGGGATTTGAGCTCTGTATGCATCTGAGGGCCCATCCCAAATGGCACGTTAGGTCACACTTTATTTGGATAGTCCGGATTTATGGTCATACTATCAACAAACTATCTGTTGATAAGCAACTGCTTGCTAAGGTTAAGGTTAGGGTTAGGATTAAGGTTAAGGTTAGGGTAAGGGTTAAGTTTAGGTTTAGGATAAGGGTTAGGGTAAGGATTAAGGTTAAGGTTAGGGTAAGGGTTAAGTTTAGGGTTAGGATAAGGGTTAGGGTAAGGATTAAGGTTAAGGTTAGGATAAGGGTTAAGGTTAGTGTTCGAGCTAGGGTTAGTAGATAGTTAGTTGAAATGTTACTGATAGTCTGTAGAGCATCTACAGATGGACTATCCAAATAAAGTGTTACCGCAACCTATTTCCTACATAGCCCTATTGGCCCTGGTCGAAAGTAGTGCACTATGTAGGGAATAGGGTGCCACTTGGGAAGCAGAAGAGCTAGGGCAGAGTGGTAGATGGAGGAGGGGTTCACTACTTGTTTGCCAAGCCAGAGGAGAGAAAGGTAGGAACCAGGGTTCAGATAGAATTATAGTAATTATGATGGCTTCTTCCAGACCCGGTAATCCTAAATAAGGCGCTGACACCAGGCATCTCCCTCCCTCACACACACACACACACACACACACACACACTGTTGTGAAAGTGTGTGAGCTGTATACACTACAGTGTTGCAATCCTCCAGGGTCCATGTTGTACAATCCGCCCTAATAATACGTTTAAAGCAGCTGAAGATAAAGGCCTGTCTGTCTGTCTGTCTGTCTGTCAGGCTGTCTGTCTACTACTGCCATTAACACTTCCTCACTTGTTCAGACTAATCACTTTAATTAAGCAATTAAATAGGGCTTCCGATTTAGGTATTTGCGAAGCATGTCCAATTATAGAAAGGTTCTGAGAACATGAGTCTCTCTGAAGATTCCTTCTGCCTCAGATTAGAACTAAATGGTGTGAGACTGTCGGGAGAGGGGGAGGAGGAGATGGAGCAGAGGAGGGGATGAGAGGGGAGGAGTGGAGTGGGAAGGAGGGGAAGGGAGGAGAAAACAATAGGATACATTAAACGAGCACTTCCGCTGGTTTATCAAACCAGTCAATGTTGAATAAGGTCAGTGAATCCATAAATGGGATATACTGTATGTGAAATAGCCATGAATCCTGTGATTTTACCGTTTTATTTAAGGGCTGGGAAAATCTATGTTGCAATACATTATGTATGAACCACTGTATGTGCATGCATTACATTATTTTACATCACAACTCTCTGAATGCAACTGAATGCAAACCCTCCACAAGTATTACATTTACATCTTATCCAGAGCGAGTGAGTGCATACATGTATTTTTTTCTTCATACTATTAGCAATGAGAAAATAAGGTAGTGTAAGAAGCAAGTTAAGGGCTAATGCTAAGCTAGTCCCTGACTAGCTCATATGATGATATGATGATGATGATGATGGTGTGCTGGTATAACAGTGATACTCTAGCAGGTTGAGATTATATTACAGTAGGTAATGAATGTGAGTGTGTGTGTGTGTGTGTGCGTGTGTGTGTGTTGTCATCTGTGTGTGTATGTCATATTACATACAGTATGATTGGTGTGTGATCATAAAGGTGTGTCAATGTAGGGGTAGGTGCAATTTTACACCAAATTCAATCCCATTTGTTCGAACCCCTCAAATGGTTACAAAACGTGTGTGTGTTTATACGTACAGTACATGTACAGTATATCTACGAGCGCACAAGGTGTGAGCACCTGTATGTGCATATATGTAGCCACAGGAGGCTGCTATGCTAGTGTGTAGGTTATGGAGTGTACGGTTGCAGTGAGTGAGATGCATGTATCCAGGAGTCTTATGGAGTCTGGAGTGCAGAGGGCTCCAATTTGACTTCGGCGTGAGATTCTTCCTTTTATTGTGTTAATCTGACATTAAAGCCAGCATGGGAGATGCTTCCATCTCATACAGAATAAAACACACACACACACACACATACACACACACACAAAGTCATTTTTATTATAATGAACCTGACTTATTCAACAAACAAACAAGTATTCATTTATTTACATACAGTGAGGGAAAAAAGTATTTGATCCCCTGCTGATTTTGTACGTTTGCCCACTGACAAAGACATGATCAGTGTATAATTTTAATGGTAGGTTTATTTGAACAGTGAGAGACAGAATAACAACAAAAAAATCCAGAAAAACTAATGTCAAAAATGTTATAAATTGATTTGCATTTTAATGAGGGAAATAAGTATATGACCCCTCTGCAAAACATGACTTAGTACTTGGTGGCAAAACCCTTGTTGGCAATCACAGAGGTCAGACGTTTCTTGTAGTTGGCCACCAGGTTTGCACACATCTCAGGAGGGATTTTGTCCCACTCCTCTTGGCAGATCTTCTCCAAGTCATTAAGGTTTCGAGCCTGACGTTTGGCAACTCAAACCTTCAGCTCCCTCCACAGATTTTCTATGGGATTAAGGTCTGGAGACTGGCTAGGCCACTCCAGGACCTTAATGTGCTTCTTCTTGAGCCATTCCTTTGTTGCCTTGGCCGTGTGTTTTGGGTCATAGTCATGCTGGAATACCCACCCACGACCCATTTTCAATGCCCTGGCTGAGGGAAGGAGGTTCTCACCCAAGATTTGACGGTACATGGCCCCGTCCATCGTCCCTTTGATGCGGTGAAGTTGTCCTGTCCCCTTAGCAGAAAAACACCCCCAAAGCATAATGTTTCCACCTCCATGTTTGACGGTGGGGATGGTGTTCTTGGGGTCATAGGCAGCATTGCTCCTCCTCCAAACACGGCGAGTTGAGTTGATGCCAAAGAGCTCGATTTTGGTCTCATCTGACCACAACACTTTCACCCAGTTCTCCTCTGAATCATTCAGATGTTCATTGGCAAACTTCAGACGGGCCTGTATATGTGCTTTCTTGAGCAGGGGGACCTTGCGGGCGCTGCAGGATTTCAGTCCTTCACGGAGTGTGTTACCAATTGTGTTACCAATTGTTTTCTTGGTGACTATGGTCCCAGCTGCCTTGAGATCATTGACAATATCCTCCCGTGTAGTTCTGGGCTGATTCCTCACCGTTCTCATGATCATTGCAACTCCACGAGGTGAGATCTTGCATGGAGCCCCAGGCCGAGGGAGATTTGACAGTTCTATTGTGTTTCTTCCATTTGCGAATAATCGCACCAACTGTTGTCACCTTCTCACCAAGCTGCTTGGCGATGGTATTGTAGCCCATTCCAGCCTTGTGTAGGTCTACAATCTTGTCCCTGACATCCTTGGAGAGCTCTTTGATCTTGGCCATGGTGGAGAGTTTGGAATCTGATTGATTGATTGCTTCTGTGGACAGGTGTCTTTTATACAGGTAACAAGCTGAGATTAGGAGCACTCCCTTTAAGAGTGTGCTCCTAATCTCAGCTCGTTACCTGTATAAAAGACACCTGGGAGCCAGAAATCTTTCTGATTGAGAGGGGGTCAAATACTTATATAACATTTTTGACATGCGTTTTTCTGGATTTTTTTGTTGTTATTCTGTCTCTCACTGTTTAAATAAACATACCATTAAAATTATAGACTGATTACAAAATCAGCAGGGGATCAAATACTTTTTTTCCCTCACTGTATGCCTGTAGGTTGCAATAATGAATATAGTAAATGCTACAGTAAAGCACATCAGAAGATAATGTAGTTATTCAGATGAGCAATAGTGTTGTTTTAGACCCCAAGGTGTTGAGTTTGCAGGGTTTTTTACATTCTTCTGGTAGATGCAGAGTGGGGAGACAATAAAGGTGTTTATGGAGTTGCAAGAGTTTTAGTGCTTCTCCACTGAAGAGAATATGTGTGTGTGTTTGGTTTTACTATCCTTGTGGGGACCAGAAGTCCTCACAAGGATAGAAAAACAAGGACATTTCGGACAAGTGGGGACATTTTGCTGGTCCCCACAAGGAAAAAGTATATTTTAGGCTTAGGCGTTAGGTTTAGGGTTAGCATTAGGGTTAGTGGTTAGG